TATAGGCACCCACCACAACACTTAGCTATTTTTAGAGGCTGGTCTCAAACCTGTAAGCTCAGGCAATCTACCTGTCTCAGTCTCCCAGAGTGTTAGGATTGCAGGCATGAGCCACCAAGCCCAGGCTTTTTTATTATTATTTATTTATTTATTTTGAGCAGGCATCCTCAAACTATGGCCTGCCTAGGATGTTTATCTGGCCCACCGGGTGTTTTTGTCGCCGCTGCCTGTCCTGCTTAGCAGCCAACTTGTCCCAGGGCCCACAGTCTGGCCCTCCAACGGTCTGAGGGACAGTGAACTGGCCCCCTGTTTAAAAAGTTTCAGGACCCCTGATTTTGAGACAGGGTTTCGTTCCGTTGCCCCAAGCTAAATGCAGTGGCATTGTTTGTTTGTTTGTTTGTTTGTTTGTTTTGAGACAGGAGCCTACAGCTGTCCCCCTGGGTACAGTGCCATGGCATCACAGCTCACAGCAACCTCCAACTCCTGGGCTCAAGTGAGTCTCCTGCCTCAGCCTCCCGAGTAGCTGGGGAGGGTGCCTGGGATCACAGGTGCCTGCCACAATGCTTGGCTATTTTTTGGTTGCAGCCATCATTGTTCTTAGGTGGGCCAGAGCTAGATTCGAACCCACCATATTGGGTGGACGTGGCTGGTGCCTTAGCCACTTGAGCCATAGGTGCCGAGCCTGTTTGGTTTTTTGGCTGGGCTGGGTTTGAACCCGCCACAGGCACTGCCTGAGGCAGTGGTGTCTTAGCTCACAACAGTCTCCAACTCTTAGTCAGGCATTGTGATGGGCACCTGTACTTCCAGCTACTAGGGAGGCTGAGGCAAGAGAATTGCTTGGGCCCAAGAGTTTGACACGTCTCAATAAAATAAAAGAAAACAATCTCCAACTCTTAGGATCAAACATTCCTCTTGCCTCAGCCTCTCAAGTAACTAAGACTACAGATGGCCACCACAATGTCCTGCTAGTTTTTTCTATTTTTAGTAGAAACAGGGTTTCACTTTGCCCAATCTGGTCTTGAACTCCTGAGCTCAAGCTCAAGCAATCCACCCAACTTGGACTTCCAGAGTGCCTCAGTCAGGGCATCCAGCCTTTGGGCTAATTTTTTTTTTGTTTTGAGACAGTCTTACTTTGTACCCCTGGTAGAGTGCCATGGTGTCACAGCTCACAGGAACCTCTTGGGCTTGGCAGTGCCCGTAGCTTAGTGGGTAGGGTGCCAGTCATATACACCAGGGGTGGTGGGTTAGAACCCAGCCTGGGGCAGTTAAAGCAACAATGACAACTGCGACAACAAAAAAACCCAGCTGTGCATTGTGGCAGGCATCTATAGTCCCAGCTACTGGGGAGGCAGAGACAAGCAAATTGCTTAAGTCCTAAAGTTTGAGGTTGCTGTGAGCTGTGATGGCACAGTACTCTACCGAGGGTGACACAATAAGACTCTTGTCTCAAAAAAAAAAAAAGGGGGTGGTGCCTGTGGCTCAAAGGAGTAGGGTGCTGGCCCTATATACCAGAGGTGGCCAGTTCAAACCTGGCCCCAGCCAAAACTTGCAAAAAAAAAAAACTAACAAGGATCATTGTGAAAAAGTAAATCCAGGAGGAAGACAAGGGGTGCAGA